TAAATTAAATGACTTCTTAATAAAATAATAGATATTCATAAATCATAATGATACCCCGGTGACTCGTCTAAAAAGTTAGAACGACGCCGCTCGGATGTGGCATGATAGCTTCCATGTGAAACAACAACAAACACTTCCGAGGTTCGGGCGTGTGACCAAGACCATGTGAAAGGTATGGTATTTTCCACCAAACAAACACGCCTAAAATTTCCAAAAGAGAGGACAAAAATAATGCAAATTTCCAATCCTTTTCATCTTTCATTACCGGGTCCCATGCCTTCAAACTTCAGGTCCATATCTCTGTCAGCTTCTCATCTTCTATTTGAATCCTTCTTCCTGCTATAAACAATAATTCCCTGGATCGATCAATCAGATACCCGGCCATATTTTTCAATACCGGTTGTTGCCATTTAATTTCTTTCAAATTTGAGAAATTTTAGACCACAAGGTTCACTCTCAACTGGCACAGGAGCTGCTCAAGAATTCGAGCTACAAAGGGTTAAAAGTTCGTGTTTTTGTTTTATTTTTCATCTGGGTATTCTTAAAAAAATGGATCTTTAATATCTTTTTGTCCGATTTCTTCAACCCCATGATTCCTTGAAGCCTTAAGTCTGGAAAAGGCTAATTCTTTGTAGTGAGAGACACTTTCTTGGTGGTATTGGTTTGATATTAGTCAACTATGGGACATCTTGGGGTCTTGTGGCTATTCATTTTGGTGAAATGGGTGTTCCTGAGTAGTCTTGTGTGTTGCAAGAAGCCTGATGTTGTGAATATTGGTGCAATTTTTACTTTTAATTCAGTCATTGGAAGAGCTGCAAAGCTGGCAATGGAAACTGCAGTGGATGATGTCAATGCTAATCCTGGAATTATGAATGGCACTAAACTCAGGTTGATCATGCAGGATGCCAACTGTAGTGTCTTCTTGGGTTCTACTGAAGGTAACTTCTAAAATCTTTTTTTTTTTTTTTTGGGTGATTTCTCTGCTTTTCATTTTTATTTTGAAATTTTAGTGGCTTCAGTGATGCATATCATTTGAAATTCTTTATATAGATATGATATTAATAAAAATAATTGAAGTTTTTACTTATTTGTGTCGGTTGTAAATTTTTAATAAATAGTACTTCCTGATGCTAAAAATATGAACTTCATTGAAGTTGATCTGTCAGGTGGTTTGTGTATGTGAGATGCTCTATTTCTTGGAATTTGCTCGTTTATGTTTCTCTTTCTATCTGCTATTGCAAAGTAACTTTTTTTTTTCTTTGTTATGTATCTTGTGTCAGCTTTTCAAATAATTGAAAAAGAGGTAGCAGCCATAATTGGTCCGCAGTCATCTGCAATTGCTCACATGATTTCTGTGATTGCTAATGGTCTTCAAGTTCCACTTGTTTCATTTGCTGCCACTGATCCTACTCTGTCTTCCCTTCAATTCCCATATTTTGTCCGAACTACACAAAGTGACTCCTATCAAATGGCGGCTATGGCTGATTTGATTGAATTTTATGGGTGGAAAGAGATCATTGCCATCTTTATTGATGATGATTACGGAAGGAATGGAATATCTGCCTTAGGTGATCAGCTTGTAAAGAAAATGGCAAAAATTTCACATAAATTGCCTTTGCCAGTTGGTTTTGGTCAAAATGACATTATAGATTTACTCAACAAATCCAAATTTCTTAGTCCTCGTGTCTATGTTGTTCATGTTAACCTTGACCCTAGACTAAGAATTTTTACCATTGCCAATAAGCTTCAGATGATGACCAGTAATTATGTATGGCTTGCTACTGATTGGCTCTCCACTACTTTAGATTCATTCTCTACAATGAATCATATCTCTTTCCATGTGCTTCAAGGGGTAGTTGGGCTTCGTCAACATATTCCAGAGTCCAACAAGAAGAAGGATTTTGTGTCTCGCTGGAGAAAACTGCAACAGAAAGGGTTAGCAAGTTCAGCGGTAAACTCGTATGGTTTTTTTGCTTATGATACAGTTTGGGCAGTTGCACATTCGATTGACAAATTCATCAGGGATGGGAACAATTTCACATTTTCATTCAGTGACAAGTTGGTTGATAAGAAATCAATTGAAATGCAGCTGAATACACTAAAAGTTTTTGATAATGGTGATGTTCTGCTCAAGAAATTATTGCAGACAAACTTTAGTGGTTTATCTGGTCAAGTTTATTTTAGTTCAGATCAGAACATTGCTAGTGGAGATTATGATGTCATTAATATTGACGGGATGGCTGTTCGTACAGTTGGTTATTGGTCTAATCAATCTGGTTTCTCTGTTTTGCCACCAGAAGTTCTCAAAATGGGACAAAATAACTTTTCTTCTGCAGAACAGAAGCTTCAAGAAGTTACCTGGCCTGGTGGAAATACAGAAAGGCCACGTGGCTGGGAGATTGCAAGTAATGAAAGACCATTGAGAATTGTAGTTCCCTACAGAGTTAGCTTTGTTGAATTTGTTACAAAAGTGCATGATAGCCATAAAATCCAAGGATACTGCATTGAAGTGTTCACTGAAGCTAAAAAATTAGTACCGTATTATGTTCCATACAGATTTGAGCTCTTTGGGGATGGTCAATCAAATCCTAATTACTATCAGCTCGTAAAGATGGTTTCAAATGATGTAAGTTGTTCATTTCACTGTCCTATAATTGGGAATTAAGGAAAAGAAATTTATAACTGAAACTAGGATTTCTGAAGCTGTGATGGCTATCCATAAGACAAGACAACATGCCATCTGGGTCTGGAGTAACTGCATTTAGGGTTGCCTTCATCCTTGATACCAAAGTTATACCAATTGGGTAAAGCATGGTCATATCTTCATTGACATTTATATGCATGGTTAGATGTTATCTATATGGCAAAAAATTTGTAAGCTGTAATTGGTTTATCTGTGGCATGCTGGTCCTTGCATTTACATGGGGAATGTTTTGTAACCTGATATATAAAATTTGTTCAACACTCCTTTATTGTTCTTAAGTATTATGATGCCAGGTGTTTGATGCAGCGGTTGGTGACATTGCAATTGTGAAGGACCGAACAAAAATTGTGGACTTTTCTCAACCTTATATAGGCACTGGTCTTGTCATAGTTGCTCCTATCAACAATGCAAAATCAAGTGCTTGGGTCTTTCTACAACCATTTACTGTACAGATGTGGGGTGTTACTGCATCTGCTTTTGTGGTGATTGCAGTGGTTATTTGGATTCTTGAGCATCGAGTTAATGATGCTTTCCGGGGTCCTCCAAAGAGGCAACTCATAACAATGTTTCTGTAAGTCATTGCAATTTTAGAAGAAGCCAATGTGAATATCAAAATTTAATCTTTGTCTAGAGGAACCTTTATTGTTCAATTTTAACTGTTTTGTGTTCCATATTTTAGTAGAAAGCTTTGTGCGTTAGAAGAAGCCCTTGTATTCATAGAATTCACCTCTAATTTGATTGAGTCTTTCAATATTTCAGGTTCAGCTTCTCAACACTGTTCAAGAAAAACCGTAAGGAAAACATTGGTTTCCTGACCTATGTTAATTCTTTCCTGTCTTCACTGCTAAGTAGAAATTATTAGAAGATATGCTGTAGTAGGACTTAAAACTATTTTGAGGTTCATAATATGTTAAACCACTCTGAAGCATTAACCCAAAAATTATAAACCAAAGTCTTAACTTATAGTAGGGAGGCCAATGCTTTAGTTATGAAATTTCCACTCTACATAACAAAAAACAAATTATACCTCCTCTTGAAGTCCTACCATAAATAGAGTTGCATTATCTTAATGAATATGTCAACTATACTATCTTCATTTTCTCTGCATTATCTTGTCTTTGTACCCTAGTTATTGCCAGATATAAGAGTCCATGGAATTTGCTTAGCATATGTAACCATACAGTCTCCTAAAAAAATATGGTAAAGATTTCCTCCAAACTGGTTTTCATGAACTAACGATTTCCTTCAAATTTGACATTATCTTTTTTCTTTCTTTTAATAGTATTTGGAGTCTAAAGAGAGGTTCTCATTGTTTGTGTTCATAGTTTTCTGATTTGATCCCTTAGTACAGCTACTTTCCGTTTTATATATATTAATTTTAAGTCCAATAAGTTTCTGTTTTGCCAATAAATCTCAGAAGAAGACACTGTAAGCACAATGGGACGGTTGGTAATGGTGGTATGGCTTTTTGTGCTGATGGTCATAACATCTAGTTACACTGCAAATTTGACTTCAATCCTTACGGTTCAACAACTTTCATCACCTGTCACTGGGATCGAAAGTTTGATTTCAAGTGATTGGCCTATTGGTTACCAAGTGGGATCATTTGCTTATTCTTATTTACAAGAGAATCTTGGCATAAAGCCATCAAGACTTGTTTCTTTAGGCTCACCAGAGGAATATGAAAAAGCTCTGCGGCAAGGACCAAATAAAGGAGGAGTTATGGCTATTGTAGATGAACTTCCATATGTGGAGTTATTTCTGTCAAAAAGAACTGATTTTGGAATTATTGGGCAGCCATTTACCAAGAGCGGCTGGGGATTTGTAAGTACCCTCTACATGAAAATATATTCATCCACATGGACACATGAATATTGGCATTAAACATTCAAGAACACTGCATAAACAAGTAATTCGGTAAATGATAATAATCATATTTACAACATCAAAACACATAAATCACTGGAAGCTTGAATTATGGGGAGGGCTGTTAACATATCTTTCTTTTCTTTATGCAAGTATCTTAAGTTACAATGTTGGTTATAACTGCTATTAGAAAGAGATTGTTAAAAATCCAAAGGGGTGAATTTTTATTGTTCTGGTATTTTAATGCAGCTATTACACCAAAATCCTGCATTGTTACCATTGAGTGAGTTTTTGATGGCTCCATTTTTCTCTAATAAAATAATTCTTACAAAATCTGTTCTTGGCAATGAAATCAGGCATTCCAAAAAGATTCTCCGCTTGCTGTTGACATGTCCACTGCAATCTTGAAACTTTCTGAGGACGGAAAGCTTCAGCAGATACATGACAAGTGGTTTTGTAATCTAAGTTGTCCTGGAGAGAGGATAATAAATGCCAAGATTAATCAACTCCACTTGATCAGTTTCTGGGGCCTGTACATTTTAAGTGGTGCCATGGCTCTCATTGCTCTCCTGGTGTTTCTACTAAGAATGGTACGCCAATTTGTCCGGTATAAACGGAGAGAGATGAATTCTGCTTCCTCATCCTCTATTTCATCTAGCAGTCACTGCTCTCACATCGTATTTAACTTCTTCAATTTCATTGACGAGAAAGAAGAAGCTATCAAGAAAATGTTTGCTCAGTTTGAGAATCGTCGAACTGATGCAAGCTCAGAAACATGAAATATTTGTTCAGCGGAACTTGGTGAAATCAGCAACATGGTCACTTTGATGCGATAGTTTTTAATTTCTATTGCATGTAAATATTGCTTTCTCTGGTGTAAATGTGTAGAACTCAAGTAGTTGTAGCTTGACTGCAACTTGGAAGTGTGTTTATTCTCTACATAGGTAACTAGGGATTGATTTTACAAGGAGTTTGTTAGAAGAAAATTCTTTATGAATTTCATAGTCCATATCAATGGTTTCCAAGCACTGATTTGCCTTTGGTTAGACGTCCTGTGCAAATAATATGTGTGTGTATATATATATATATATATAAATGAGATGGACGCTCTTAATGATGGCTGCCAACTCAATTCGATTAATATGGTATGCAGTTTGTAGAGCTGACGTCAGATGAGGGTGAGAAAATTTGGAAAGAGCAGTGTTATAAAAATAAATTCTTTTAATAAAATTTTAATATAATTTTTATATATAAATAAATAAATATATTAAGTGTTATGATTTTTAAATATATAAAAATATTAATTATTTAAATTACACATAAAATTATGTTAAAAATAATATAAAAAATTATTTTTGAATCATTTTTCTTAAAAAGTATTTGGCAAAGTGCTAGAAGAGAACATCTTCATAATTTGTAACCTCCTAAATTCCTTTACAAATTATCTAATACTCAAAGTCATTTTCTCCCACAGCTACACCCTGCTACCGGATGACAATTTCTTTCAAAACCAATGAAATTCTACAAAGATTCCCACCTTGGGAATCTTAAAATATTCTTTTCTCGTAGGGTATGGATGAAGGCATTTTTTTGGTGAAATTTCATGAGAAATTTTTTTCGCCTCATGGAGATTCATATATAATAAAAAATAAATTTATTCTTATATATATTTGTAAATATATTACAAATTAATTTTTACTCACCCAAACTAATTGGCTAAGTCAACCTAACCTAAATTGCCTAGTCTTATTCATTTTCCAATTCTAGTATTCTTAAACCCAATTCAATAACCCAATCCAACTTAGACATGGATGGCAATTTATGCATTTTTTTTTTTTTATGAATTTGTTGCTAGACCTATTTGACATGTATGATCATGTATTTATTGTAATTGGTTACTATATATTGTTTTACTGCATTATATGTTAATATATTTACTTGTTTGAATTATTTTAAAAGTTTACTTTTTTTTTTATTTATTAAAAAATAAGATTAAATTTTATACATTTAATATTTGATGGGAATTTAAAATACTTGCAGGACCTATTATTCCCTGCAAATATGAAGATGGAAGTCATTTTTGACCCCCCATTAAAAATACTCATGACAATTCTTGTACCTATTATTAACAGAGATGAGAATGGAAATGAAAATGATGAGGGAGTCCACGTTTTAATGAGAACCCATTGACATTCCTACTTAATATAAATACTAAGTTAAAATAACATAAACCACAATACGATGTTTTAGAGAGGACTTTTTTTTCTTTTTTGGGTAGAAAAGAGAGATCGTGTTGAAACTTAACGAACTACAACAGTCCTGGGAATGATATTCGCAATAATATCCGAATACATTAAGTTACAAAGGTTAGAAGGACATTGATCGAGCACAACAAAAGGAGAGTCCGACTTTGCATCCTTAGAGAGGACATTGATAAGAGACATTGGATGCTTTTTTTTATTGGTAATTAGCACACCACATTTTAGTGTCTGTTTTAGCTTCTATGGAAGGAGAAACTGACAACCCTAGGGCTTGACTCTCAACCACACTTTGGGCTCGGGGACATTGAATGTTGAAATGTCCTTGGACAGAAACATTGACTAAGGAAATGCCAAGAGTATAAATTGGCGTCTTAATATTAAAATGAGTTGAAATATTTGAATATTTAACAGAAAAAGCTTTTAAGATAATTTATAAGAAATTTTAGTATAATTATTATCAAACCATCTTAAGATTACGATTGAAAACAATTGATTATTAAAAAAATATTCAACCTGTCAATTGATTATTCTATTTTCATCTCATAATGACTTTTTTTTAATAAATTATTGAAAATTATTGTCCAGCACTTGGTGGCTCAATGATCACCTCTTGCGAGATGTGTTTAGGATTAAAGAACTTGGGATTAAATCGCAAGTCCCCCTTCCCTTTTTCCCAAAAAAAAAAATTCCACATTATTCAAAAAATTTATTGAAAATTATTAATTATTAGAAAACATTCAACCTGTCAATCAATTATTCTATTCTAATCTCATAATGACTTTTTTTTTTAATAATGTATAATAAAAAAGAATTTTTTTATCTTTTAATTTAATTTATTTACATATCATATAACTTAAACTTGTAATTTTTTATTTTTACTAAAAGTATTACCATTAAATTATATAAGTAGTTGACTATAACAATTTTTTATCTTAATTGAACATGTAGATTCCCATTCCCACCGCCAGGTCCAACCATAATCTGTAGAGTCAACCATTTGCCATTAAATTTCAAAAGTTCATTCCCACCTTCTTGGAACTTTCTATCATAAATTTTAGATTTGAGGCATTGCATTAAACGTCACAAATGGCGAAGTTTATATTAGGTCATAATTGGGTTTTGAAATAGATCTCAAAAATCATATCAGGCTTATAGAGGTGGACATGTTAAATGGTAAAAGCATCATATAGAAAAGTTAAGCACAGGCATAAATGCTTAAACACGATGACTTCATTTTTTTACAAATTGATTTTTGAGTTAGATGTGAACTTGTATTTCAAACTCACATGCACTTTTCACATAGTTTTAGAATGGTATTGTTAGTACACGTGCCGTGATTTGAACTTATATTTAGAAATGTGTTAATACAAAAATATGCACACTAAAAAATAAAGTTAAAACATATGTATGTATGTTTAAATATAATATGAACTTCTTCATCTATGTTTAAATGCCTTATGTTGTGTTTAGTCTTAGTGTATTACCAACAATTATTCGTGGGTAAACAGTCTGGAAGTACTATTATAAGTCCTTATTAGGGTTGTTGGCATGCCTTGATTTGAATTAGAATTTATTGATAAGAAAAAAAAAATTAGTTTGATAGTTTGATAGTTTGATTGAGAAATTGAGTAAAGTACCGGGGTTAAATAAGGTTGTTTTCCGTGGTCAATGAAAAAGCAACAAGAAAACTCAAAACTGTGACATGCCTTCGAATTCGTAGCATTACAGATATTCGTATGTTGTTAACGTTTAGTAGTTTTTTTTAGTTTTTTAATTTTAGAATGTATAATAAAAAATAATTTTTTTATTTTTTTAATAAATATTATTTATATATTATGTGATTTAAATTTAAAATTTTTTATTTTTGTTAAAAAAATTATCATGAAATTATTTAAATTATTATAATTAAAATTTTAAATTAAAATTTAAAAATAAAAATATTAAATTTTTTATTATATAATATATTATATAACATTAAAAAAATAAAAAGCAAACCTATTGTATAACATTAAAAAAAATAATAAGCAAACATTCAACGGTCGTAAACCAAAAATATCTGCCTCAATTATTGTAAAATGATTATGATGCCTCTGGCCCCCAGGCTCCATGTAAAAATTCTCGTTTAATATTAGTCACGTCAAATGTGGAAGAAAAGGAGCATGGGAGCCCCGACCAATTCCCATCCACCAATATCACTGGAATATTACTAGGAAAAACCGTCAAAGAAGCTCACCATCAACCATTCCACTCTAAGAAAATGATGCTTTTATTTATTGGACCGAAGACTACACTAAGCTTGGTATTAAACCTGTAATTCAAACTAGGAGAAAAATAGAGAATTCCTGGAGACTTAAATTTATATTAATATTAGGATTGGTTAGAATTTGTTTGGGTAAGGATCTTTGAACAGAGTTTTTAGAAAACCTCTCAAGAGATGATAAGGAGGATTGGAAAAACTCACTTTAACCTAATATTATGTTCTAATCTCTTTACTTCCCCTACCGATTAATAAAAGGAAAAAGTTTTTTAAAGTGGGTTTACTCAATGTTTTTTTTCAAATTAAGTGAAAATTAAATTTTAATTTTTGTGTAAGTAAATATACTTTAATTAAATTCCTTATAAGTGTATTAAGGTTTTTTTTTTGAAAGGTCCAAAATACCTTTTTTTGACAAATAATTAAAATATTAAAAATTTATTAATTTTATTAAATAAATATTAAAATTAAAAAATAACAATAAGCAAAACTCTCCCTCTCTTTTCTTTTAGTACTTGGATTAATGATTTTTATTTTAATACTTGAACATAATTCAAAAATTCAGTTTTAATTATTAAAATTTTGATTTTTTTTATTAATATAGTTCATGCAGTTAACCAAAATTTTAAAATTTTTTTAAGTAAAAAGATATTTTGATATTGAATCATTAACTATAGTGAAATATTTCCATTAATTAAAATTTTAATTGTAGTAATCAAACCCAATATATATATATCAAGTAATTTACAATTGAATAAAATATGTTCATCTCTAATGATGATCAATGTAGTGAGAAAAATGGAGAGAGAGTTTTAATTGTCATTTTTAAATTTTATAGTAATTTATTTAATTAATATTAATTGATAAAAATTTAATATTTTAACTATTACGTCTTATAAGGGTATTATATATATTAGGTTAAAACCCCATTTTGGTCATTGAATTATTGTACGGATCCTTGATTTGATCCTTAAACTTAAAAAATCCCTAATTTGATCCTTAAACTTTAAGAATCCTTGATTTGATTCCTATTATTTACTATTTTTACCCCGATTTGGTCCTTCCGTTAAGTTTTCACGTTAATTGACGGACAAAGACAATGGAAACATTATGTGTTACTTAAAAATTAACAAATTGGCAAAAATAGATGACATGGCATTCCAACTCATCCCACGCAAAAAAAAAAAAAATTTTTTTTTCATTCCTCTCTTTCTTCTTCCCTTTCTTCAACTTCTGTAAACCCTAACATGTCAATCAATCTCTAACATCTCAACCAATTTCTACCCTTGTTGGTTCTTCATCATCATTGTCAAACAACATAATAATAATAATAAAAAAAAACTAAATTTTTAAAAAAAATTTTTGCCCCTCGATTCTTTCGTACCTAGCAGCACCTTTTCTTTCTCTTTCCTCTTCCTTGCCTTGCCTTCTTCATCTTCATCAATCATCAAACAACAAAACCCAAAAAAAAAAAAAAAGGATTTTTTTTTTTTGCCCCTAGGTTCAATGGAACCCGGCACATGGGTTCCTTGGAACCCGGCACATGGGTTCCTTGGAACCTAGCGCCTGGCTTTGAAGGAAGCCACGCCGGGTTT